CCGCGTGCGCAGGGGTCGATTGAGACCGCGGCTTTGCGAGGGCCGCGTTGACCCCGCATGGCCACTTGGGGTCGACGGACAGCACGCGCCCGTAAAATACCAGGCCGTACTGTCCTGCGCCAGCGGTGGGAGCCGATTGGGCCTTGGCGCCAACGAGCGTTGGGGCCGACTGGACCTGCGCCCCAGCGATGGCCGCATTGGCCCCGCGTGGCCGCGTGGGGCCGACGGACGATATGCGCCCGTGAGAGAACGAGCCGCCTTGGTTTGCACCTGCGCTCGGAACCAACTGGGCCCCACAACCGCCGAACAGGGCGCGAATGCACGCGCTTGTCGGGCAGACCGAGCACGCGCGAGAGCAAGCCGAGCAGCCGCGCGAAGAGCGGAGACGGCGCTTGGGCCAGCCCACAGCGGAAGAGAAGTCCTGACCCCGAGCCAACAATCAGGCGAGAAACTTGTCGTCGACGAAGGGGACACATGCGCCTGGCGGAGGAGGGAGCGGGGAAGGAGCCTACACCGGGAGAAGAGGGCGGCAACCAGCGCGCGCGGCGACGCACGACAAGCCGGGCTGACACGACGCGACAGCAAGCCACCCGCGACGCGACCGAAGGACAGCCGCGACACGACCATCCAGACGACCAAGACGCAGAAGCCAGGCAGCCAAGAAGGCAGCCGCGACCGGCGGCGACGACACGGCAGCCAGCCAACCACGAAAGGCATTCGCGAAGCTACAGCGGCGCGACGACGACCGCAACGCGACGGCGATCCCGACCACGACGGGCGAGCCGACCACAACCCCGACGACGACCGCGACTCCGAAGATGACGACGGCTGCCGCAACGACGACGGCGGGGCGACGCAACGACGACGGACACGGCAGCGGCGACCAAGAAGAGGAGCGACGATTAGCCAGCGCGTGCGCGCGGAGCGACGACCAGCCGGCGCGCGCGCTCTCTTTGGAATTTTGGAGGCCATTTGGGAGCCCATCAGTCAGAGAAGGGGGGGGTTCATGCCCCCCCAACGTCGCATGCTCCAGATTCGCCTTCTGGAGGTTTGGGGGGCCCTCGTGGGCCCCCCTCTGTGGTTCCCATCCCATGGGCCATCGTGGAGCCAGATTTCAGGAGGAGAAAAAACACGCAGGCACAAATCCTCGATCCCCCAGAAAATATTGGAACTTATGGGAAGGGGGGGGGGGGAAGACAGAAACCCAGAAATATGTGAAAATATGGGGAATCTGTTTATTTGTGTGTACTTATTTGTGTGTCCTTGGGTCCCTTCAGTGGAGCCAGATTGATGTTCCCAAAAGCGATCGGACGAGAACAGGCGAGAAGGCCAAAAGCCAGCTGTTTCTCGCAGATGGTGGACGGATTGTTGGTTCTCGGGGCCGTTTGCGGGAGGCCCCCGTGGCCATTCGGAACCGTTTTGGGATGGTCGGCGAACATCTTGGAGGCATGCTGGAGGATATCTCGAACCGTATTTGGCTACCCGGTGAGATTTTGGAGGCCATCCTGGGCTATCCTGGGCACTCGGACTGCTCGCGACCGGGCCCGTCCAGGCCCAGGGAGAGAGGGGGTCTGGGGGAGAGGTGAGCCTATTCCCCGAACGGAGGGGGCCAGCATAGCTCGTGACACTCCGCTTATGCCCGCCAGCCCTTCCAGGAACGACGCGTCGGGGAGTGCCCTCCCCTGGGGAGCGCGACGCCACTGGAAACCTGGGGACGCCCAGCGAACCGAAGGGCTTCTGGATGGCTCTCTTGGTCGCTTGAGATGTCGCTTGGGGGGCGTTCTGGTGGGGCGTCGTGGGGGCCTCTCGGGGGGCTCTCGTGGGTCTCTTGGGCATTTGGGGGCCCTCTTGCGAGCCTCGGAGGCCTTCTTGGGACCATTGAGGACATCGGTCAACGACGGGGGGTTCTTCATTAGCGCTCCCCTTCTGGAGCCCCTGAAGTCGCCTCTTGGGGCGCTCTCAGGGCCGTCTTGGAACCCTCTTGGGCCCCTGTTGAGGCCCCCTTGGCCCCCTCTCGGAGCCATCTTGAGACCTCGGGTGGCCATCGGAAGCGAACGCGCCTGTGAGGCATCATGCGATTTTGGAAGGATGTTGGTTTCTTGGAGCGACCTTGCGTTATCTTGGGCCACATTGGGGGTTGTCTTGGGCTACCTTGGTCGCTCTAACGACCCGCGACCCTCCCTCCGTCCAGGCCCAGGGTGAGTGGGCAGGGGGAGGGGTCAAGCCATCACAAGCCGCAAGCCGTGTCGCTCACTCCCGTCTGCCCTCCGAACACATGAGCAGCATCCGAGCCTGGGGCCCTAATCCCAACGAGTTCACGAGTCCCGTCGGAAGCACAGCAGACAGCATGAGAGCACCCACCCCGCCCTTGCCAAAAACCATGCAACGTGATCCGCGGGGCGTCTGCGCACGATCCCGATTGGGACGCACGGTGCACGTTGGTGACGCGGGTTTGGGGTGCGGGGTGGTGGCGTCCTGACTACGGCATGGTGCATGGCCGCCCTCATTGGCCCAGGTGTGTCGCCCGTTGGGGAGAGGGAGGGGGTGCGCGGGCCAGCTGCCCGTCTGCTGAAGGCCATTCACGCTCATGCCGTATTGGATTTGAATTTGAGAAGGATTGATTGACGGGGTTGTGCTGTCATAGTTCTGTGCTCGCCCCATGCCAGGTGGGGAGAGGGTGTATATTCAGAAAGGGCAGTGATTGACCCCTCCCCGAAGGGGAATATCAGGGTTGGAAGGGGAAGTGTTCTGAAGCACCTACGCCCTAAAGGGATGGTGGGACTAACCCGTTCAGCTACCTACGCCCTGAAAGGATTGGTGGAAGTCTAGTGTCGTGTGCACAGTCCACTAGAGCAGACCTTTGCCATATGAAGTTTGCGAAATCGACGAGGGAACGTCAGATTTGTCGCAAGTCCTTCCAGCGTGCGCCAGTTGCTGCTGCCGTCAACGCTGTAGCCCTGCTTTCGGCACGATGCGAATTGTTTGCTGCGGTCGCCTATTTTCCACAGTCTGGAAGGGGTTCGCCTAGCTCCTCACATGCTTCTTGGGCCTCTCCTCATGCCAACCCCATCTTGGCTGGTCGCCCTGAGGGGGGGGGGGCTTGGCCAGGCCCGATCGTTCTCCCGTCAGAAAAAGAGAAGAGGGGCGGCCAATTCCATGATAGCCAAAACGTTGCAACATGCATACTCCCGACAGTGATTCACGCTTGCTACCGCGTCCAGGGGACTCGCTGTTCCTTGCGGGGCCGTGCCATCTTCGCAAGGAGCAAGGGGTTGAAGGCATTTCATCGCTCACAGGTAGCATTCACCATTGCAGGTCAGATGCCCGATCTCATTTTGCAGTTCATGACATTAGTACCCGTCATTCTAGCTAGTTCGTGTTCATGACTTTCATATTGTTTGCTCACGGCCGTACGGTTCGCCGCCGCAGTCCAGAACTTCGATCGTTCGCATGAAGCACGCTCGTGTTACTCATGGCACCTAGCGCCGTCAAGGGCAGGAGTCGCCGGCCACAACAGTATGGTCAGGTGTTTTTTGCAAGCAGTTCCGTCGCCGCTGCAGTGTGGCTCAGAGCCACCACTCTCGGGCCGAACGAAAGGGGGGGATAGGAAAAGGGGGGGTTACGAAATCTGCTGCATGCAGCTAATTTCGGCCCCGCCGCCGGGCCCATTCCTCGATACACGGGCGCCTCTGGCGCCAGGAGGCGCCAGGAAAATCAGCTACGTGAGCTGATTCTCAAACCCCCCCTTTGCTGTCCCCCCCTTTCGCCCGGCCCGACACTCGCAGACGCGACATAGTCGCAGGTTGCCCCCAACAGCCGCTGTGGCGGTTGAGGGCCGCATTTGGCCCGGCAGAAGGCATTTTTGCCGCCGAGTCGTTCTTTGCCAGAGAGTCTTAGACGTCTGGCCACGGTGGCCAGAAGGCGCGCAGTGTTCACTCTTTGTGAGAGCAGGGCAGGAGGTCCAGCTACTTTCGAACTCTGGACCCTGCAGCCCTATCCAGCGCCATCCCAGTGCCAATAATTTTCTGCTGTACTGCTAGGCCTCCTAGATGGGGTCCGAGTAGATGGGGTCGGAGGATCGCGGCGCATCGCCGGCGCATCGGCGGTGCAGCTCGATGTGGAGTTCGTTTGTCTCCACGCCGATGGCGCCGATACATCGCCGAATTTCGCCGATGCATCGCCGATGCATCGGCGATGCGGCGCGATCCTCCGACCCCACCTACTCGGACCCCATCTAGGAGGCCTCTATATACTCCTGCTCCCAGCTCCATCGCAATCCCAGGGACCATGACTCCCTAGGCTCCTGCTTGGGTCCTCTCTCCTTCCCCTGCCCTCCCCCCCGTCGCACCGCCCGCTTCGGTAGCACGCGGAGGGGGGAGGGGGGGGGGGGCAGGCCTTCTCAGAAGGCGGCGCGGCGTCTCAGAAGCTCTCCTGCCTTCTGAGAGGCCCTCTGGGACTTCGGAGAAGGCCTCGAGAAAGCTCCCCAGAAGGCCCGAGGCGGCCGTCTGGGCCCTCTGAGAAGGGGGAACGGCAACAGAGGGGCAGTGAGCATTGGGGGGGATACTCGGGCCGGGCGAAAGGGGGGGAATGGGAAAGGGGGGGTTACGAAATTTGCTGCATGCAGCTGGTTTCGGCCCCACCGAGGGGCCCATTCCTGGATACATGGCCGCCTCTGGCGCCGGGAGGCGCCGGGAAAATCAGCTACGTGAGCTGATTCTCAAACCCCCCCTTTGCTAACCCCCCATTTCGCCCGACCCGAGATACTTCCCCCCCCCACGTTCACTGCCCCTCTGCTGCCGCTCTCCTGTCATCATAAGGTGATCGCAGGAGCGTGGTCCTGACGGGGGCCCGGAGCGGCCCCCGAGCTGCCACCGTGGGCCCAAGAGGTGCGCGAGAGGTGCCCGCTTTTCTCTCCCCGCCCCCCCCGTGGATTGCCCCTTGGCGAACGCCCGATCTGCGGTGCGCGGCCAGCGCCTCGCAGAGCGAAGCCCTGCCGCAGGTCAGCCGCCCAGGGTCTTTCCAGTCCGCCGAAGGCAGCCGAGCACCACCTCCATGCCAGGCCAGGGCCGCCCTCCTCCTCCTTCTCCTTCTCCTCCTCCTCCTCCTATTCCTCCTCCTCCTCCTCCTCCTCCTCCTCCTTCTCCTCCTCGGGCACGGATTGGTGCGCGGGTCCTGGTGGTCGATGCCAGGAGGAGGAAGACACCACCCCAGGGCCCAGGACGGCCCTGCGCCAGGACCCTCTAGACGCAGCGGTGCCGGAGAAGATTGGGCGTCGCGTGATTCACCCAGCGCGCTCCACTACTCGCAAAGTGAATACTCGCAAATGTTCGAAACAAATGTGTGCTCGCCTCGATGGACTGTATCGCAGATCACCCGCGGTGGATCGAGGCCATTTGCGAGTAGTTACTTCGTGAGTAGTGGAACGCGCTTGCCTAGTGACGGGTAATTCGGCGAAACCTGGGGGGGCAGCGGGGGCTGCAGAAAGGGCGCCCCCGAGGGCTCCTCAAGGGGCCCTCTGGGGCCCCAGAGGGGGCCTCCCGGAGGCGGCCTCCGGGGCCCGCGAGGTGCACCTTTCTCCCCCTCTCCCCCCCCCCACGTATCGCCCCCCCCCCACCCCCACTGAGCGACGCCAGCGTGGATCACCGCCCACCACAGCACCCCAGCCCAACCCGAAAGCCCCGATTTGTCCTCCATGTCCAGTGTGTGTGGGGGGTCGGAGTATATAATCATATATATATATATATATATACATGTCTGTATATGCGTATATTTATATCTGAAAGAAAAACATATGAAGCCCGTACCCCCCACCCCACCCCGAGATTCGGGCGAAATTCGGGTTGGGTTGGGCTGGTCTGGCAGGCAGTCAGTGGAGTAGGCGGGGGCTGTCGCCAGGCACGCTCGGCGTCTGGGCGGCGCACGCGGGTGGGGGTGGCGTGGGGGGCCGGCGGCCTTTCGGGACGGCCTGGGCACCCCTGGGGCGCTCGCGGCGAGGGTCCGTTGCCGTGCAGCTACAGGGGGAAGACTCAAACACAGGCAGAAAACAGCCAGGGGGCGTTTTTTTTCCACTATCTTTCCTCACTTGGAGGGTTTTTTTTTTTGTTGTGTGTGTGTATGTGTGTTATTTCTCGCCCAGGATCCCCCTGCAGGGGGACACGCCCGACCTGCAGCCACGTGCGGTGGGCGCCGGCCCGCGGAGGGGCGGCGCGCAGGCTCCCGAAAGAATCGAGCAGCGCGCGCTGCGCTGCGCGGCGGGCGCGGTCTCGCCGCGCCGTGCGTCGCCGGGTCGGCGAGCGAGAGGGAAAGGCAGCGGGGCTCCCTCGAGGGCGCGAAGTTCTTCGCGCTTCGCGCTTCGCGGTCCTCGTTCCTTCTCCTCCTCCTCCTCGTCCTCCTCTTCTCCCCCTTGGGGGGCGGCGCGAGAGCGCGAAGTTATTCGCGCTTCGCGCTTCGCGCAGCGCGAAGCGCGAACTTAGGAGCCCTTGGAAAGTCAGCGCCCCTCGAAGGGGGACTGCACTAACGGGTACTCTGGCCAGTGACCCAGCGAACCCAACCCTTCCCGATGTTCGATGGGACGTGAGAGTGACCTTTCGCCGGAGTGACCTTTGGTGCGGGCCCACTGGGGCCCCCCGATGGCCGAACGCGATGCGATAGTAGCGCCTTGCGCGCCTGTGTTTGGTCCCCCCGCGGCCCCCAAAAGGCCGCGCACCAAAGGTCACTCTTACCCAGGGTCACTCCTGCGTGTAGCCGAGATGTGCCGATGTGGGGAACGCTGCACTGCCAGAGAGAGGCCTAGATCGGCCACTTTCGGCAGTTTTCCAAAGCAATTTTACCCGTTAGTGAGTACCCGTTACGGTGCCGCTGAGAAAGAATAGTTTTTGTTCGGGCCGGGTCGGGTCGGTCGGCCAGCTTCGATGCACCGCTTCGTGGCCGCATAGGGAGCTCCACCGGAGCCCCCAGTGGGACCGCCCGCACGCGTCCCGCACGCAATTTGACATTTTCACCCACCCAGTACAGCGTTTCGTGGCGTTGTATTGTATGCTTGGGTCGGACGTGCGCCTCCGGCAACAGCACATGGCACATGAGGCTCGGAAGTGCCAGCTGCCTACGGCATGTCCAGCCATTGTGCACGGGTTGTGGGTATGAAGCCTAATGGAGAATTGTTGGGATCTCGAGGGAGGCCTCTCGGGGGCCTCTTGGAGGCAGTTCTGAGGCCTTGTGGGGGCCGTTTGGGGGCCTCTTGGAGCCTCGTCAGGGCCTCCAGGGGACCTCTTGGGGACCTTGGGGGCCTCTTGGGGCCTCTTGGAGCCTCTTGGGGGCCTCTTGGGCGCCTCTTGGGCCTCCTGGGGGCCTCTTGGGGCGGAAGGCGGCTCGGATTTTCTGTTCGTGGTCCCTCTCTTGGGCCCCTTTTGGGGCCGTCTCGGAACCCTCTTTGGCCGTCGTGGGCGCCCTTTGGGCCGTCTTGGGGTGTTTGAAGCAGTCTTGGGGCCATCTTGGAGGCCT